GTTTAAGTTTGAAAGTTGAAAAGTTTGTGTGTCTGAAACGCTATGTGATACAGTACAGTTTACACAGTACATGTTCTGTAGCTACTATTGCACTAAATGGTAACACTTGAATACGTTATGCAAATATGCAACTTGTTTGTTGAAATGTTAATAAATGGGAGCTTCCTCAAACAGCCATCTCTTTCCCGACAATCCCCTCTGTGCACGAACCCTTACATATGGTAATTAAACATTAAAACACCTGCGGCTTATAGTCCAGTGCGGCTTATATATGTACACATCATTCAATTTAGCTGCTGCGGCTTATATTCAGGTGCGCCTTATAGTCCGAAAATTACGGTACTTGTTCTTTATATTAAAAAAATATATTCTTCATGATAAAACACAAATAATTTCCTTATAATTGCCTGTTTAAGTAACGTAAACCACAGCTAAAAAAGTAGAGCAAGCCACTGTCAGAATTTCATTCCCCGATATCTCCAGCACAGCAACAGGGCAGCAAAGAGATGTATGAGAATGGGAGGCATGGTCACGTGACGTGATGTACACACATAAAAAAGCACATAAATGGGTCTGGAGAGACTGATGGGATTTTAAAAAGCTTTTAGAGGGCATTAGCCCAGGGCTCTTTCCCACTGCACCTCAATGCCAATCTCAGAGCAGGAGGAGAGATGGAAGCAGTAAGGGGAGGAAGAAAAAAAAACACACCCGCTGTAGCTTCACAGCTCAAGTTAAACCCTTTCAATTATAGCCCTGAAGTAGAAGCATGGGGTGCCAAGAAAAAGCTCTCATCCATCCTTCTGCAGGAGAGGGAGACTCCTCTTCTACCTTTACTGAAATACCCTTTTGAAGCACTCTAGGCATGGGGCTGCGTAGATGTGCAAGTTCAAGTGTTACATCACTCCCTAGCGTAACCAACGTGTACATACTTGATCACAAAGGGGGGGTTGCAAAGTCTCACCTGTGTCCTGAGGGCCTATGGACTCTGTTATCTCCGTTCCATCCATGCTGTCCTCGTCATCCACAACAACCCTCCCTCTGGTGCGACCCCTAGGGTGAGGAAGAGAAACAGACAAATAAACATAGGCATTGCAAAAGAACAAGACAAGAGGAAGTGCCCGCATTCGCTTCAGGAGTGGGGGTGGCGGGCGGCGGGCGGCGGGGCGGTCATGAATTAGTTAAATATAGTCACAGCTGTCACCGATTTTTAATGGAGGCACTCAGGGCTCTGGGCAAGGCGGAAGAGTGGTAGTGGGGGGTGCACAATGCAGACTGGTAGTATGTAGAGTTTAAAGATGGAGGGCAATCTGAATAACGCCACTCTAAAGATTAGAGTAAAGAGAATGGGTATTTAGATAACATTTCCTTATGGTATTAATGTAGCATCATTCTTAAATAAAAGACTACGCCCATGATAGGGTTATAAAAAAAAAAAAATCTAAATATTGGTGTATGGTGCTCATACATCAAAACTGAAATGTGTGTTCATCTTTAGAGAGACATGTAAATACCTTTATCATTTACAGTCCCTGAAGGGATGACAACTCATTAGAGTAACTGAACGTGCTCTTGTTAAAATTCAAATCAGAATACAGACACTACTTATTATATATGATAATAGCTCTGTAATTTACCTCAGCACTAACAAATATGTAATGATGAATTTTCATGAGTCATGTTTGGTATCCTGAACAGAAAATATCCTTAGGGTTGTTTGCACATTCATTAGGCGCTGTGATGTATAGCTTTGTACATAGTATATAGCTTTGGATAAAGACAGAGGGATTACACAAGACAGATAGTCTTATCCTTATATTTTATTATTCCAAAAATAGAGACTCCAACATTATTTTATGCAAGATCTAATTGATTCTACTTAAAGTTTTTGACGGTAGTCCCGAAAAAAGGTACAATAACAACCATCCTATTTAAATGATTAGTCTTAAGTAAATAGAATTATCATGGCAAACACACCATCTGATAGATCTCTGAATGCCAGTCAATAAAACAGCAAGACAACCTCTTATTATCAATTCAAATCAATAGCTACTCTGTTGCCAGCAGGGGCTACTGGGGTCCATTTGTGTGAAGAACAAAGCACTTTGACCCTTGATGTATAAGTCACAAGGGTATGCACAGCTTAGTATATATTTCTTAGTAAGAATGTGATTGTTATGGAGAACTGCTAGTTTGCGACAAGGTCAATGCTCTATTATTTTCCAAATAAAGAACGCAAAATACTTTCAACACGTTTAAAAAAAAATTAAAAAAACGAAAGGCATGTTGGAGGTTATAAACCTTATAAAAACACCAACATAAAACTATGCGAGGAGAACGCTGTACTATCGGATTTCAAGGTAAAAACCAAGTTAGAACTACTACAGCCTACTAGAGATGTGTTTTTTCACAGGTATCAAGTAATGATGATACAGCTCTTAACAAACGACAGTTTGTAAGTATCTACCAGAGAAGATTGACCGACTTGTCTCAAGTAGAGATGAAGCTGCCATGTGTAATTAGTATTGGGCTCAAACACTGCTTGTTAATAACATTTAATCAGAATTAGATATATGAAGCATCACTATAAACATCACTTCATATTTCTTTATGCATTTGTCCAAAACTGTACATTTAGTGAACCAATTAATAACAGTGTTTTAGTATACTAATGCACGGCTGTCGGTAAACTTCATGCACACAACCCACATTTAAACATTATCAGAACTGACTGAAGTGTGTAGCGCTGAACAATTTGATCAATTTAGACTATTTTATTCAAGCAAAAGTGTGGGAAAAGCTGCTTGTGTTTACAAAACATGTACCTTTCATATGGGAACTTGGGCCCAAGGAGTCATTTGAAAAATACACATTTTATTTATTTTCCAAAATAAGGTTTTTTGTTTTCCCGCAATACACACAATTTAAATATCTGGTGCTGTAGTAATCCTTTTTTTTCTTCACGTTTAAGAAAGCTTTGTCCATCTGTTCTATATTACACTAAAATGATTCCTACCACACCGTTTAGCGAGAAAGTGAACCACAGCGCAGTACAAGGAAACAAACTGTGGTGGTTAGTTAAAACTGTACTCAAACTTGAGCATCAGCCGCGGTGGCTGCCCAAGTCCGGTCTAATAATACCCGACAACAGCTACATACTGACACTATCTATACAACACAATGCAAAAAACAATTTCAACTATCAAGGAATGCTAAAAACCCTAATAATTTATTTGAATTTGGTTCGTCTATATGATGCAGTAGTAAATCGGATTGCACCGTGCAATTGGGGTTTGTATGTAGAAATGCAATTACAGTTTGGATTGAGATCCAAGGCCAAAAAAAAACTCAATCAGAAAATCCTTTTCATGTGTCTACCTCCTGTTGAGTGACCCAAAAATATCTTCTTACTACACCAGTTCAAGACTTTCTATCTGGGAAGTCATGTTAAAAGTCATCTTTCTTAGCCTTTTAGCTATTATCACTTATAGAGAAGTCCTCACAATTTTAAAACACGATATTTTAAATGTAGAGATCAAAAAGGAAAGGGAAACCATTTCCATTTCTCACTGAATGTGCCATGTCAGCAAATCAGACAACCATGACTAGGTTTATACACATAAGCCAGTATGCCAACCCGTACAGATGTGTGCATGCATACACAAGCGTTTACATATACTATGGAAAGGTCTGTCAGTGTTTGAGCATCCTCCAATGGGAGCTCTGTTAAATTAATCTTGGAAACGCTGTGTGGAGGGAATAGTTGTCAGGGACACAAATTAAATAGCAACATCAATTGTTAGCATTCTTAGTAGGGAGAGAGAAAAATGAGAGCAGCATGTGTATGTTCCATGGGTACTCAGGAGGATACAGGGGGTTGGAAGTGAGGGAGGAGATGGTGGGATCGGGGGGTGGGTAATTTTCGGTGCCACCAGAGAGAAAAATCACAAATGGCTGGATGCCAAATCAACCCCTCCCTCTAAATGACTTCCATGTCAAGATAAGGAACAACCCAAAAGCTAAAGAATGACAGAAGAAGCCTTTAGCAAACCTTGGCTAAAAACATAATAACCTGTAAGCCTGAGTCAAGCCTAACTCTCTTAATTGACTAGAAGCAAACTCACCTATCCCACAGAGTGCTTGTTTCATGTTATTGTAAAGGGGCACACAGTTATTGCTGAGTCAGGCATGTGCCTTCCTGTAGTCACGGATAACATTAAGATTTGTGCATGACAGAATCTAAATTATATCATTCTTATGGGCAACAAGATTGTTTTAATTAATTGCAACATTGACAATAATTGAAGTCTTAATTTGACAATAGAAAAATCTAACTAGGAAACTGCAAAAAACATAGTTATGTATACTATCTGCAAACCAAAAAATCATAAATGGTAAATGATCAATATGCAGTTACATTTTAATAAATGGTTGATGCAGTTTATTATTTGGCTTAACATAAGTCTAGAGACAAGACTCTGATTGATTGTAAAACTGTTTGTTTTTTAATCAGTATGACATGTTTTGGTCTTTCATCCCGCTCACATTTTAGTGCTAAACATATTCTGTCTCACAGGCTTTAGTGTAAATGTCCACACATATAATTCTATAGTTAATTACTTTTAAATGGCTTTTCATTCCGGATGGCAAATTAAAATGCAAATATTATCTGTGTTTGACATTTTCATTTATGACTACAATCTGATGTATAGCACAAAGAGTAGTTGATGGCAGTATAGTCTTCACAAACACTGCTACGCAACTCAACTGAAATTATAAATAACTGCGCAAAAGGCATTACATTTCAGCATTGAGACCGCCAGCAAATTCACTGACAAATGCTGAAGACCAACATTCAACCCCATACCCTGCACAACTTATCCCCCCCACAGTCCCACCACAGGGAGAAAGAGAGAAAAAAAGAAAAGAAAGAAAAGATGAAAATAATGCTGTGGTAAGTAGTTCCAGCTAGCAGCGTGCTGCCTGGAAAACCTGAAAAGGATTATGCTCTTCTGAAATGGACTGACTAGCAGATGGAGCGTGGGCAAATCTAGTAAATTCCAACAACCAGGTCTACAAGAGCCATTACTGACACTTCCTCCTTTGTCACAAGCAAACTGGCTTTTAACACTGGTCATTTTTATATTTATACACACACTGATTATATCCATTAGAAGAGGAAGCCAGTTGGTCTGGACACAAGATTGTGCCATGAGGAATATTCCCAGCTCTGTGAAATTGCTTCACTCTCTAGTGTATGTGACTGAGCATAGCAACGTATCATCTTATTACAGTTGGTCAAGTTTGGCTTCTACACTGCAGGCAGGTAGATTATGCCAGGAGGAACAGCCAACCTTATGCCTATTCCATAATAAACATGAAGCAACTCAAATGTGTACCAGGTCATTCTTCCACTGTGGCAGTGTGGCATTAAGGCATTGTTTGGATGCTTGCAGATTAAATGATCCATTGGGAGCAGGGTATTAAGATTGATTGAGAGGACAGACTAAGGAGAAGGTTAAGGACCTTTGTGGGCATTATGTTACCTAGCAGCTCTAAGCTGCATTATATGCTGCTATGGATGTCACAAAGAAGTCAGACCGTGTACAAAACCCTCATAAAGACATTTCTGTTCTGGCCTCAACTGTAATCAAGCTGCTGTGGAACCGTTTATAAAAATCATATTTGCAATGATGATATTTTATTAAAAAGCAAACCCAATCAACTACATGCAAACAACACAATCAGTTTTGAAGAACAAAAGGAAAGGCCCAAAACACAACAAAAATAATGTGTTTTTCTAGTAACACAGTAAATATGCCATATGTTTAAGTCAGACTGCCAGTCTGTGGACCTCGTTTTAAATATCTTCCAACGTTCTTTTAATTTCTTGGACAAAATAGCAGGATTCCACATTATCGAGATTTCATGATATGGTTTTGGGTGCTGCTTGATGTGGCCAACGCTTTTATCCAAGGTTACTAACAAAGCATCTCTACAGTGTTGGATTTAGTATCCCAAGGAAATTTGACATGTTGCCTGCAGAGGCTAAGGATCAAACCTAAAACGGGATGGGGATCAAACCACTGACCCTCCGACAAAAATGGCCCCCATGACTAACAACCGCCTTCCATGTTTGATATATGACAAAATAACTGTGACAAATAAAAATCAAGCAATAACACGATCCAGATGTTATAGAGGCAGAAAAAAATCCATTATGCAAAGCTACGAAATCAGTCGAGTCTTATCCGATTTTTTTTTTTAGATGGAAGTAAATATTACATTATTTTTCCACATCATAAACATACAAAAAAAGATTACTTTCAATATCCAAATATAAAAACCTACTTCTTTTTGTTCTTAGACGTGGATGAGAGTGGCGCCTGCGGTAGGATGACAGCAGCATCCTTGCGCGGCCTTCCACGTGGTCGTTTGTCTGCGTGGGCAGGACTTCCTGTGGACGTGGCCCCGACACTGCTGGAGGGCGGTGAGGGTCCCTGGTCAGAGGGTTCCACAGTCTTATCCTCTGATGACATTCTGAAACAAAGATGAGATAATGATAAGCGTTGTATGATAAGTAGACTTTAAACATTTACTCAACTTTTGAAAACAGGTGCCGATGTTCACCCGTTTTGTTTTCATTATGTTTAGAAGCTTTCAAGGACTGAATATAAAAAAGGAGACAATGGCATGGGAAGCATTCAGTAATCACTCCACATCCAGTGCTCTGGGTTTTCCATTTGCTGCAACCCACCCACTGAAAGAAAAGCCACAGTTCAATGGTAAAAAAGGTGAATGCTGCCCTTTAGTTGTATTTTACAATGTGAAGTGTAGTTGAGAGCTGCCATGAGAGCACTGGTGACACAAAGGAACACAGAGTCTGAGGGAAATATCCATTGGCTATTTCCAAACGACACAAGAATCTCTCCAGCAGTCAAATTTGCCAAAATTGCATTGAATTTTTGTTGAGTTATCTGAATACAATTTGCTCATGGGATGTACTTGTATACTGGAGTGAGAGAAATGGCAATTTTCGCTACAGGCTGGGTCATGCCACTCTGCACCTCTCACATACCCGTGTCCAATCAGATGCCAAAACAGGGACAAACCTTTTTTCCATTGGTTCTTTTGGGGAAAAATAACCAATAATCAGCAGTGAACCGCTTCAACACGTGTATTTCGGTTTATTCATGGCATTCATTTTGTTATTCTACAGTATTGTTGTTTTATAGTTATTTGTTAATGTATACAACCCAATTTGTGTTCTTTGAAATTGAAAAGGATATTGTATTCTGTTTGTATTGTATTCTACTTTCGTTGCAGTTGTATATGTCTTAAGTGTAATTTGGCTTGGCTTCCTATTTTGTATGGACATGTGTTTATTTTGAAGGAGTTAGCGCTGTTGACAGGAAGTTGTTGCTGCTATGGAAACAACGTGACGGAGATTAACGGAGAAAAGTCATTATCTAAAGACAGAGAAAGTAAACGAAAAAAAAAGTGAATATCCAAATAACGAAATTGAAACCCGAATAGTACTCCAACGAGCGAATATTCGGATACAGCCCTAATTCACATGAATATGGGCATTAAAATTAGCTGAATAAAAAAGAAGCAAAAAGATGGCAAGCAATGTTGTAGGCATATGTGATATAAGATGTGCATGTTTTCTACCACTTGAATGCTCGTAATTACAGTTTAAACAATCTAAACTAAATGTTGACCACTGGGCATTTCCCATGGATTTTTTCCAGTTAATTGACCTTTCTCCAAGCCATGCCCCCCACTGCTATTCAGTCAAGCCGTCTTGACTTGGCATAGAGCCCAATCTGTCACTAACTGCATACCTTGAAGAAAAATTATCTAACTTTGAAAAAGCGAAAGATCCATTTCAGAGACAAAGGCCTATGATACAAGTCTAAAGCATACATCCAGGATTTAAAACTGACTCAGCTGTACTCTGCTAATGTTATCTCGAAATATCTCAAAAGGTGAAGTTTTGGAAACGTATATCCCCTTCCAACCACCCTGGGTCACGTCTATGAATATTACACATGCCCCAAGCACAATGTTATCCATGACTAGTTAATAATCAGCAAAACCAGCCTGAAAATAAAGTCAACCTGAATCGACTATGAAAGTCTTTGGAGAAAAGAAGAATAGTTGCGTTGAACGCTGCATTCGAGGGGTGGGAATTAGCAAAGGGGAAATTCCATTTAGAAAAGCTTAAATCTTTCTCGAAATAGGTGTACGAGTAGGAAACTCTATTGAAGTTATGAACACCATAAAATAGGGTATTCCTTAATTTAGTGTTCAGGTGGATTGTAACGAAAGAGGGTAGTTTTATTTATGTAGTTTTGTAATTTTCATGATCAAACCTTTACTTTAACTCTCGTGCCTTTTATGACATGATCCGCATCAGCTGTGTTTGTCCACTAATATATCCAGGTTTTTAATTGTTATTTGTTGAGATTGTGCAGTAGGGCTTTTGCTCTGACGTAGTACAGCAAATGTTCTGTTAATCACTGAGAGCTTAACTGTTGCATGATAAAAGTTTGTATGAATAAAGATTGGCATCGATTTTATGTGGCTGACAGCACTGTCAAGACGCTAATTTCACATTAGTACAGTGAACGAACACATTGAGCAGGGTTTCCCACACAGACTATACTTGGGCGGGCCGCCCAGGTATATTAACGGACGCCCAAGTATATTTTGCGAACCATTTAGGTGTTTTTTTTTTATAATTTTTTTTTTTTATTCGTCCGTGACCACGACACCATCTGCGATCGATTAACTTGTGGACAATGGTCCCTCGCTCCCTTGCTCTGATCTCGCCTCCTTCTGGCCTGTTAAGTGGCCTGCCTCACACAGGGTGACTGGCTGTCCACATGATGTGGCCTGCCGACATGGCCACTGTCATACAGATCATAAATCAAAGCCCTTGATTGGTCTCTGTGTGTCATTCAAGCTCGGGATAACCTCAGCTCAGGTGAGGTAAAGGACTCTCTGAGTGTTTAGATAGTTAAAGTTCTCAGTGGGTCTCAAACGGTGTGGTCACCATTTATGTAAACACATATTTCCATTTGAGAGGGTAGTGATTGGTCTGCGACCACCAACTGGCGGCCCGCGGGCCACATCCGGCCCGCCAGTCATTCTCATCCGGCCCGCACGACGGGGGTGACTGTGGCGTTGGCGGAGTGGTTACTGCGTTCGCCCCCCACCCATTTTTTCTTTTTACAACGTCTCGTGAGTAAGGTGCAGTACCGGAGTCCAACAGAGAGGCAGCAGCTGTGGGACAGTAGACTGCGTACTGCGAAACCTTCCCTGCCTTGAAGAAGAATCTATCCTTCGTTGTGAAGAGTCTGCTTTGTGCGCTCCGCACCACAGCAGTAGCCCCGCTGCGACAGAGTCCAACAGAGAGGCAGGAGCTGCGGGACAGTAGCCTAGAAGCAGGGTTGGGTTGTAACGGAATACATGTAACGGCGTTACGTAATCAGAATACAACAATCAAGTAGGCTAACTGTATTCAGCTGGCATTACATTTGCACAGCGCTGCAGGATGTCTGTGAGCGAGAGAGACATGCAGCGTGTCTGTGAGGCCCCGCCCCCGCACGCAGATGAGAGAGATCTCTTTTTAAAATATATTGAAAGTTAGAAACGGAGATGGTTAGATAAAATGTGCAAGATAACGTTTATGTAGCATTTATTTATTGTCGAAATGATGACATTTCATAACGGGATCAAATCAAAGTGAATGGCCTGCTGCTGCTGAATGCTTGGGGCAAGTGACTGGAAAAAGTTTTAAAAGTTATTACAACGTTTCAGATAATAAATAATATTGATAATTCATTCTATTTAGGGGCGCCTTTCAAAGCACCCAAGGACACCTTACAATTCATAACATATTCCAAGGAAAGGTTTTAAGACAGTACAAAGCATGCAGTCCGGGTGATGTTTTTTATGTGGGGTGCAGATGAGAGAGCTGTCCAGAATGACACCAAGATGTTGTATTTGAGTTCTTGATAAGCCATTAAAACAGTAAAATACGTGTCTCCTGTGCACCAAAACATACCCATCTGTTATGGAAAAAGAAAGTATTCCAAAAGTATTCTAAAAGTAATCTAAATACGTTTCTTATAAGACACGTAACTGTAACTGTATTCTGATTACTTTCAGAGCATGTATTCAGTATTCAGTAACTGATTACATTTACAAAGTAACCCTCCCAACCCTGCCTAGAAGTGATCCTTCGTTAGCGTGAAGAGGCTGCTAAGCGTTATGCGGTCCGCAGTACCTGAGCGTGCTCCACTAGCTCCCCCCCCCTCCCTGATCAACAACTTCAAAATTCTGGGCTATATAAAAATCTCTTGCCCGCCATAGTGTCTATTAGATACATTTTGGCCCTTGGACAAATGTAGTTGGTGATCCCTGGAATGGATAGTGAGGTGGGCTGAAGATCGGAAGGCTGTGAGTTCAAATCCCTCCAGGAACACCACCACTAGTGTGCCCTTGAGTAAGGCACTTAGCCCTTAGTTACTCCAGGGAGAATGTCCCTGTAATCGGTCATTGTAAGTCGCTTTGGATAAAAGCGTCAGCTAAATGAAATGTAATGTAATGTAATGTTATTAGTAAAATATGCATGAATAACTAGGTGAAAAAAGGTAAGATACACTTTTAAAACTTGTTGAGAGCTAAAACTAGTCTTTGCTGCTGCCTCAAAGAGGAGCAGGGAGGAGAGGAATATAGAGTAAGAAGAGATTTAATTACAGTACCCAACCATAAATATGTTTAAACGTCACCCCTCAATATCGACCAGTGCATAACTCGCAATACGGCGTCTCTCTACAAACTGTCGTACGTCTTGCGGACCTCTAGTTAGCCCGCTAGCCGCACATCATACGGGGCTGATTCTTCGTCCATTATTGATGATACACATAACATCTCACTGGCTATATGTACTAGTTATGCGTCAACTGGAACAGACGATGTCCTTGGATTAGTGACATGATACATAGCGTCTTAGATTTCCTCCACTGCAAGGGAACCGGCGTGTGTCTAGGAACGTCGTTTCTTATTAGTAAAACGCATGAAAATCGCGGGAACATTTAGTGACTCACTGTCTTATGTAAAGTGCGATTTAGGAGTTTTCTTAACCTTGTTTGACTAGTTAATAAATTTTTTAGTAATGAATTTTGCGGCATTGATCATTCATTAATAAGCTAATTGTACACAGCGCACATCACATCGATCGACCGATGTGCAGAATCCTTCTGAATGGAAAAGACAAAACTTCCGATTCCCTAGCAGACGATTTACGCAGAACAGGCAATCTTTGATTATTTCTTATTAGCCTGTAAAGGAAGTAATCGGTCATATAAAAACAGATTGAAATTAATTACAGCCAGCTGTTTTCTATATAAATTCGATCAATCTTAACGCCAACGTTCAGGAAATTGATTGATCGATTACAGTAGAATCATTACGATGCAAGTAGCAATCCAATCGGTTACGATCCATAAATAGATAACCCCAATTCC